TCCACATCCAGCCCCTTACAATCAGCGCAATCATACCGTTGGGTTTGCTGTAGATACACAATGAATATGAGACACACAGGGAACTCAAGTGCCCCACTTGTCTGAATGCATTTGGCTTGATGATGGTTGAGGAGACATCCGCCATGGTTTACGCCAAAGAAGGTCATAAACAACAACGATTGGAGTTGCATCGACTGCATTCATGACGCACCTCTGAGAAGGGCAAGTCAGGTAAACGGTAAGATATTTTCCGAAGAGAACCATCGAAAATTTATGGTCTCGTTTATGGTGTTCAACGTTCATTGCACATTGTGTAGCTCATCCATGAGCGGGTTGCCAGTTGATACTTAGTAGCCACCACTGAGAGAAAAAGAAGTAGTTAAAATGTTCAATAAATTGATATAGAAAATGTCTGATTTGTTTTTTAAATAAAAGTTTTCCTCAGAAACAACAGATTGTTAAAGTTTTCAATAACTACGCAGATATCCTTTTTCGCGTCATGAGTACTTCATCGCAGCGTATCAGGCCGAGCGATGAATTCTGAGCAGCCTCTCTGATCAATTGAGGCGAGGATATCGAAAGAATGCAGTAAACGTTTTTATGCCATTGCACCTAAAGGACATCTAACTCTGAATAAATTTATTTTATTTTTTTACCTTTCGAATTAGACCAAAGTAAATTTACAGGAAAGGGAATGACACAGCCGTCGACCTATACAGCGGAATGGTTGCTTGGTTTACATTTAATACTGAACGTTAAGTTCTTCCACCTCCTGCAGTGACCGGTTCATATCTGGAAAAAATATTTAAGGCTTCCACGTTCGGAAGGTCTGACAATGCCCCCATCAGCAGCTGTACTTTAAATACTCAGCTTCGAGTTTCATGTCATTCATAACATTCTCCATGTACGAGGTTCTACAGGTTGTCCAAGATTTTTCAGTATTGACTAAAAACTATTTTATTGACCAACGAGTGTTAGGTAGTTTTATTTTGATTGTTGTTATCGTTTTGAACGTATTGAAGCCTCTGATTTGTAGCTGTTCACAGACTGTCCATTTTCAGCGGTTTTCTATAAGACCAACTGTATCATAAATCTGAATTTGGATCTGTTTTGGTCTTCCAGTTTACGTTGAGATCTCCTTCGCATTTTCAAGAATATCTCTATTACTGTTTTTGAAACAGTCTCGACGCTGAGGTAATGGGATTTTTCTCGGTCAACTTTTTAAACAAAATCAACCTCATGCACTTACGGCATTTACGACATAGAGTGACTGCTTACAGGATTGCACCATTTAACTCCAGCTATGTATCGTAGGCACCTACCACGATACGGGTTTTCATAAGAACAATGGCATCTCTGCCACATTATGGCATTAAACAATCGGAGTCGAGACAAGATCAAGTTTGCAGGTTAACGTGAAGAGAAATATTTCTTTCTCAGCCTAAATACTTAACAGACTAACAAAAGGCTGCAAACAAG